AATATCATATACACGAATTGGAATACCCGTTGTATTATTTTTAATATCACATTTCTTTGTCTAAAAAAAAAAGTCTTCTGAATGATTTTTAAAATATTTAATTTTATAAATTTAACTAATAATTTTGAATTTAAATCCTGCATATGCAAATATATTAAATACGAAAGATCTTGTTATCTATAATAGTTCTTTTCAACTTAAATATATTATCTTAAATAGTAGATATGATACATGTAATCTAGACAAGAAAAATTTAATAGAACAGAAAATAAAATTAAAATTAATTGACTATATATTCTTAAATATTAAAAATACATTTTTTAACTCTTCCAATTTATATGTTTAATATTTTATATTTATTTACCATATATTATGAATAACTATTAATTATCATTTTATCGCCACAAATGTCAAACTACATACTCAATGCTATTAAAAATAAAATAAAATAACTAAACAAAAGAACTTGTAGTACTCAGCAAAGCCGTCCAAATCCAAACATTGAAAATGCAAGTCTAAAAAAACTAATCTTATTTTTTTAGATTTATTTTTTATATTTTTTTTTTCTGGTTTTGGTTCATTTGAACCTTTAGTAATAAAGAGGAAAGAAACTGAGAGGGGAAGAAAGGAAAAAAAATATTAAAAAAAATAGAAATTGAAGTTATTTGATAAGAGAAAAGTAAATAAAAAATAATTTATATTGAATTAAATAAAGAATTAATGTGATATTATAAATTAAATTATACAAATATCTTTTATCTTTAACATCTAATTTTGCTTTCAATTTTTTTATAAACTAAGTTCATATAATTAATTATATTCTCTCTTCGATCAAAACATAATGATTATATTTGAGTACATACTCAATTATATTTTACCTAGGAGGAAAACATAATTGATTAAGCGCTTTCATATGCAATAATGTTTTATAAAAAATAATAAATCAATTAAATATACAATTGAAAATAATAAATTAAAAATTTTAACACAAAATAAAAATTAAAGGTGAAAAATTGGCAAAATGAAAATATAGAACTATTAAAGAAAAAATTTAAAAGTTAAAACAAAAATTAAAACTAAAAATTTTGGGGATTATGTTAACATAACCAATTATGCTTCGTCCAAAAGGTAACATAATTGATTATGCTACTTTGCTCATGTGAATAGAAGGATAAAATGATAAATCACACTCAAGTCTTCTCATTTTAGCAAGGATAAAAAAAAACTTTTAAGACTCAAGTATTATTTGTTTCACTTCATCTCAATTCTAATATACCACACTCAAAATATAAGCTTCCACCATCTTCTATCATTTCTCGTCTTCCTACCAACTGCCACTACACCAAAGACAATGTTAGTTTGAGAGAAGAATTTCCCTTTTTTTTGGAATTTTGTTGTTAGTGTACCATTGGTTACTTCCCCATCTCCTTCAACATGACCATTACATGATAGTGTCATTTTTCATAGACATGGTCTAAAAGGATTACATAGATCTCATAGTCTAACTAGCCAAGTATATAGTACATCTATAATTAAATGATTCTCCTCTTTCACTTTATGGTATTAAAGTTTTGATATTAATTTTTATCATCACTACTTGCAGGAAACAAATGACCAAAACAAACAATTTCAACTATTAAAAGAGGGTTTAAGGAAGGTTCTTGTCTCATCTACTAGTAAAAATTTCTCTTTTACGTTAAACTTTTTAGACTCGATCCAACGCACAGGTGTTTCATACCATTTTCAACATGAAATTGATGGAGTGTTGCTTGAAATATATGAGATTTCAACAAAGGACAATAATATCATAGTTCTTGAAGATGATCTTCATCAATTGGCTTTACTTTTTCGGTTGCTTAGACAACAAGGATATCGCATTTTACCAAGTATGTTGTTATGAACATTGCACCTAAATGTTGATCTTAAATTCCTCATTCAAGTTACTTTTTCACTATTTAGGTATAGGGACGTTGTATTACATTGTGTCATGTAGTTAAGTCAATTTTAGAGGAAGAATGAGTTGAAACAAATTAAAAAAAAATAATTTATTATAAATTTGAAAATTAATTTTGCACAACTAATGATGGGGGTGGGACAAGTAAAATATATATTTATCCCTTTATTAGAGGCCTAGGATGTTACTCCAAAAAAATAAGAGAGAAAAATTATGTATAGTTCCCTTTCTATTTCAAAATGTGTGCAATACACTCATATATAAGAGAAGCAAACCAAGTGCAACAAAAGGAAAAATAACAAACTCTTAATAGACTCAACGATTAGCTAAAAACAGAACACTTGACACCTAACAAACATGACTCCCTAAATTAGATAATTTAAATCATAGTGAATAAAATCTTTCAATTTCAAGGTCTCTTTTTTATGTGTTTGAACATGTTCTTAATTACACCGTCATTATTGTCAAGCCCAACATTAGCATTAGCACTTGCTGGCCATGCCATTAGACTAGAACCAATTGGTAGGGAAGGTCCACAAAGGCATCACTTCTAAGGTTAAAGCTTGTTCAAGTACCGCCGAACGGCTGGCGTTGAGGGGAGTATATTGATTATACTTTGGATCCCGAGTAGGCCGATCCCGAAGGGATATCTCCTTCCCTCTCCCCCTGTATGACTGTTCCGCTTGCTTTTCTACCTTGCTTGACGACTCAGCTCGGGCCTGATTACGATACTCCGCCAACTCCTCCATCTGCATATACTTATCAGCCCTTCTCCTTAAATCATTCATGTCCAACAGAGGCTTTTTACAAATGCTATTAACAAACGGCCCCGGTTTTAAGGCTGTTGTAAGGTGATGCAACGCTACAGCGGGGTTAAGGTCGCGGATCTCCAAGGTTGCCTTATTGAACCGATCCATGAAAGCTCGAAGCGACTCTTTCTTGTCTTGCCGAAGGCTAACCAGCGACAAAGACGTCAAGCTGTGAGGGCGACTCGTAGCGAACTGAATAGTAAATTGAGACGATAAAGTGTTGAATGAGTCGATGGAATTGGGAGGGAGCCGAGTGAACCAACTTAAGGCCCTGCCCTTGAGGGATGTTGGAAAAATTCGACACAACGCTGAATCATCCGTGGTGCTCAAAGTTACCTGCGTCAAGAAAACATCCAAATGTTCGTCAGGGTCTGTTGTACCATCATATTTGTCAATAGGCAGAGATTTCCAATTGTCCATTAGGGGGAGTTGCATAATAGAGGGGGTGAAAGGATGTCGGTGCGATCCGATAGTTGCCGCATCTGCGGGACGACCAACTGTGGGGAGGGCTGAATGGAATTTTTCAGGTGCTGGTGCAGAAGCATGAGGAACCGAAGTATGAATTGCTTGGGACTGATAAGATCCTTGAGTTTGAGTGTTTGTCGCCTGAGAGGGTCTCCATGACATGTTATCCTTTTTTAAGGCCTCGTTTTCAGCTTTCTAGGCCGCAAGTTCCCTTGCATCCTTTTCTCGTTGTTGTTTCATGATCTCCATTTCCTGTCTCAACAGCCGAACAACATCAGAAAGATTCGTTTCGTCAACAACCTCAACATGTTCTTCATTCTCGTGCTGGTGGTCTTGCGTGTTTGTTCTCCTAGTAATCGCCATAACGTAATCCGATTAATCTTCTAACTCTCCGTTCGGCCCCACGGTGGGCGCCAAATGTACCTGTCTGATGGGTACACCAAGTCTTCTAGTAGTCCAAAGGCCGAACGAGAACTCCAATCCGATACGCTAGTGAAAGGGTTGGTACCTGCAAAAGGCACTCCAACGCTCAAGTCAGGACAAACACGAATATCTAGGGTAATTAATGAACAGTGACGTTACCTTTTGACTTGAGCTATTTATACTAACAATCGTGGGCCCTGGACCTTATGGGCCCTGTAAAAACTTACCGTATCAGGTAATACTTCTTAATCAGCTAATTAACCTTTAATGGTTTATTAAAGATAATTAATAGAGATAAGCCGAACCAGGTGACCGATTGGCAATCGGCCACCTGATTCAGTCCCTCGGTAACCGATAAGAGGGTGGCTAAACCCCCCTACCCGTACACTTAGTGTGAGGCCCAATAATAAATTGATACAATAAAATTTACTATTAACTTGAGCAACAAAAAAGAAAACTCAACCAAATTCAATTTGGTTTGAAATAGACAATAAGGTAGGACACTTGTTTACACTTTATATATAAATAAAGGAGAAAATATACTTTGAATTGGAATGATTGTGACTGCAACTTGAATTATTGAAAAAGCAGTGGCTTAGGGGGGGAAAGCACAAACCAATAGAGTAAAATGTTGCAAGTCTTTTTCCAACAATAAGGAAGGATTCAAAAACATATTAAAGGAAAGAAAACAAATGTAAACAGCTAAAGAATGGCGGTCACAAAATTTGTATTGCTCTTACCTTGTTTTTTTAATGCAAGATCATGATCATGTAAAATAAAGACTTATGACTCAATTGATTGAGTAGGATGTGTAACTGTTGTAAATTCTTTTTTGTTTATCTATAAAGTTTATAATGACACAATAATAAAATTTGAATTTAAGATCGTTGCTATTTTTCCCAAACTATTAATCCAACATTAGTGATTCAACGTTGTAAAATTATTGGCAATAAATTTGATTTTTATGAATAAAAAGAAATAGTAATACACATACTTTTAGAGTTGGGTCAACTCAAGTTTCTCCAATTTTGAAAATTTCCAACAAACTAATTAATATCTAATTAAAATAAGTCAATTTTAGTCTCTTATAAACTAAACAAAACCAATTATTTTGATTCCAAAAAGTTTTTTTTTCCTTTAGGCTGGTTCATAGGGTGACTATACCCACTTATACATATTATTTCATTTTAAATATGATAGCATCCATGCATAATGATTATATATATATATATATATAT